ATCGATGCTAGTTTGCACAAATCAAATCCAAAGCAGTGCGATCGCTCGATGGAGAATATTAGTTTCTGTATTCATGACCTTTCAAACAATATTTTTGGCGCCAAATACGGCGTTCAGTGCGTTGAAAACGACCTGGCACTCAAACCAATCGCCGATGCTCCGTAGCACTAGCTACCTGCGCTGCATCGATGCAAGTAGGCAAGAAGTTAGTTGACCGCAATGCAATCACGCGATGGAGAATATTAGTTTTTGTATTTAGGACCTTTCAAACAATATTTTTGGCGCCAAATATGGCGTTCAGTGCGTTGAATACCACCTGGGCCACACGCAATTTTTTAAGGCTTTCCAGTACTCGCACCTGCGCTCGAAAAACCGGGAAGCAAAGCGATAGAAACAACCAAGAAGGCCACATCTTAGCACGCCGTAGACGGTGGACGGACGTGGCGGATCGTGAGCGAGATGCGATGGTTGACACCGTGCTCGTCATCGACGTTGTCGATGCTGTGGAGGTATTTGGTGTACGCCTCGCCCGTGAAGACCAAGAGGCTGCGTCGGTCGAGCGTCAAATGAACCGGGACATCGTTTGGCGTCGTCTCACGATGGCGCTGGAACGTCATGCGCCCAGATGCGCCCGCACTCAGAATGGCTACGAGCGGGTAGTACATCGGGCCGTCTTCGTGCGGCAAGATGCCGTCGCCAGGAGCATAGTCTACAGGACATTGCTTGAGCCCAAGATAGAGAAACGACGCATGGACCCACCGTTGATGAGCGCGTGATTGGGTGTCTCGCTGGCCGCAAAGACACCGGCTTCCACGAGGCCACTCGACAGCGCCTGCAGCCAGCGAGGCAGTGGCTCCGGCTCGTATGTCGTTGTGACGCTGCCACCCCAGACCTGCAGGCGCCGGTACTTGAGCTGTACCCACGCGGACGGCGCCGCTGCATGCACTTGATCGAGGACGCTGGGCTCTTCTTCGACTGAAATCCAGTTGGGAATGTAGTAGATGGTACCGTCTTGAATGGCATGAGCTGGCAGCGACAGCGTAGGCCTACCACAAGCGAACTACAGACCTGGGATGAGTCGACATGGCGTACCGTGGCGCCAAGTCAAAGGGTGGCGGCAGCGGCTGCTCTGTCAAAGGCTGCTCGAGAGCAGGCGTCGGGCGCTCGGGCGCCACATCTTGGCGGCCAGCGCGGTCGCGGGCAGCCTCGGCTCTCGCCTCACGCAGGAGCTTGCGAAAATCCATTGCCGACTGCGACGGGTAACCGGATGACTCCGGAAAAGGCTAAACACACCCAAATCGACGACCGTTTTGGCGCTAAAACGTTACCGCTCATGCCTCAGAGCGATGCAGTTTGACATCGCAGGGTATCGCGAGTCGCGGGAGCATCTAACACTATTCTATTGTTATAAGGGTATCGCGAAATCTTCGCTTTCCCACCAGGATGTAGCGCATTACTTGCTTCCAACCTTGGTGTCAAGGTGCCAAAAACCTTCCAGAATGCATCTGAGGTCCTTTGGCCCATTCATGCAGGGCCGTTCACTGTAGATGATGAGCAACACATGATCGATACATGTCGAGGTTTGTAGCGGCATACATATGTTTATATTCTTTTGGGTGCCGAACGAAGTGAAAACGCAGGGTATACAAACTCCGGGTTCAAATCCCCTCAGTACCAGATTTCCAGCACCGCAGTACGATCGACAACACGCAAGGACAAGGTCACCGAGGTACACATAATGCACCCGCCTCTTGTCCACGCCTCATGCTCGCTACAGACGAAGCGTCCCGCGCTAGACGCGGCGCCCACACCCACGACGGCTAAGACCACGCCAAGCCCTCGACGCAGTGCGCCTTTCTGCGAAAGGAGTCGCTCCTCAACACGCGCCAGCGCCATTGGCTGCTCGCCACGACAAGCCGCCAGATCACGTAAGCATTCGCGCGATCACTGTAACGCACGTGCCAACACACTGTTAGGCGGCAGAGCTCAAGGCGCTTTTCGCCCGACTGCGCAAGCCCACGGCTTGGTCTTGAGTGACCGACAATTGAACGTGCACGAAGCTCGGCCTTCCCATCGGCAAAAGCAAGAAGATCAAGATCAACCTCATCGGCAAGTGCATCTCGAAGGTATGACTATCTGGGTGGGTGGGTTGCGTGTTGCTAGAAGGTGTATATTGCATAGGTCATGGTCGCTCGCGAGGACGAGTTTATTCAAGAGCGGATCGCGCAAATCGCGGTGGCGTTGCAAGACGCGCGCCAAGCGAAGAAGAAAACCGCCAACTCAACGCAACGGGGCAAGGAGCCCGTCAAGATTGCAGCTGCGAGCCCCACAGCGGTGGGCGCCACAGCAACGACGGCCGGGGCCAAAACCACGCAGCGTCGGACGACCGAGGCCTCGGCGACGACTCAAGTCAAGGCCGCGACTACGGAGATCAACACAGCGCCCGGTGCGAAACCTTGTTTCCGGTGCCCGACTTCTCGTACGCCCCCGACGATTACGCGGCCGAAAGAATCTTGGCGCACCATCAAGCCCGATTTTCTGACGCTGATAATCTCGAGGTCGACGGCGAGTTTCCGGGGCCGACACCCGTGCCATCTGCGCCTCCCACCACTACTATTAAGGTGCTTTCTTACCTTGGTAGCTTAACGATAACAGCAATAGTAAAGCTTTTGAGCCAAATCGAGTATTTGCAAACACAGACACCAAAATGCCAACGCATCTGTGATCCAGTGGTAGATATAATGCGTATGGCACTCAGCTCCCATACATCGCAACTCGTTGGTCGCATGTTCCAAGTCTTTTTAGCACCACCGACAGCGTGGCGTCTTGGCTCGAAGAAGGGTTCGCTATGGTTTCGGACTTGAGGTAGGGTTAGGGTAGGGCTCGGGTACAAACCTGTTCTGCCACATCGGCTCTAGTATGCGATACGACACGGTTGCTTCTAACAACGTGGCAGATAGTAGACGCAACCATGTCAGACGCATCGTCTTTGTAGTAGTAGTATTACAAGATCGGGAGGAAGAGCGGCGTCTCCTGGACGAACGGCAGCTTGGCGAGCGCGTCGCACATGTGCTGGACCTGCGACACCTTGGCGAGGTCGGTTGTCACGACCGTGTCGACGTTGTTGCGGTCCGTGATCGGGAGCTGCAGGATCGAGTCGATCGAGATGCCGGCCTCTTCGGCGTGCGTGCCAATGAGGCGGACAATGCCAAGACCGTCCGCGAGCCGCACGCGCACATAGAACCGGCCTTCGTAGTCGTTTTGGATCGAGACGTTGCGGTTGCTGCCAAACGCAGGGACGGGCACGACCGTCTGCGCAAGCCGCACAATGTCGTTGACGACCGAGTTGGCAGTCGGGAAGCGGCCAGCGCCCTGGCCCACGTACGCGCCGTTGATGCAGTTGGCCGAGACAATGTTGACAATGTTGCTCGCGCCGTGGACCGTACCAATGACGTTGGTCGTGGGCACGACGACAGGCGACACAAACACCGAGATCGCGTCGGCGCTCGACTGTTTTGCGATACCGAGGAGCTTGATCGTCGCGCCCATGAGCTTGGCGTACTCGAAATCGATCGTCTTGATGCGCGTGATGCCCGTGGTCGGGATGCTGGCCGGCGCGACGTGGCAACCAAAGCCGAGCTTGGCGAGGATCGCAATCTTGGCTTGGACGTCGTAGCCGTCGACGTCGGCGCTCGGGTTGGCCTCGGCAAACCCCAAGTCCTGCGCCTCCTTGAGGACTGCATCGTACGACGCACCTTCCTTCTCCATCTAAGGTCATAAAGCAGGAGTCTATCACGTCCAGAAGAAGAGGAAATGTACCTTGGAGAGCATGTAGTTGGTCGTGCCGTTCATGATGCCAGCAATCTCTTGGATGCCATCGCCCGTGTACGAGCTCTGGAGCGTGTGGATGATCGGGATGCCGCCGCACACCGAGGCTTCGTAGCCAAAGCGCACGCTCGGGTGCGCGGCAAGGAGCGCCGTGAGGTCGGGCATAAAGTTGGCGATAAGCGCCTTGTTGGCCGTGATCACGTGCTTGTTCTTGGCGATCGCCTTGAAGACAACGTCCTTCGCGTCCGTGACGCCGCCCATGAGCTCAATCACGCAGTTGATCGATGGGTCCTCGAGGATGTCGTCGTACTTGGACGTGACCGTGGTCGCATGCCCAGCGAGGAGCGACTTGAGCGCCGGGTTGGCCGTGTTGCGGACGCAGACGGCAGCGACCGTGGCGTCGACGCCGACGCTGCGGAGGTACTGGAGGCGCGAGGTTAAGATCTCAAAGACGCCACCGCCGACCGTGCCGCAGCCAAACATACCGATGCGCAACGGGCCGCTCATGCTGGAAGATTGCGCAATTCGAAAATGATCCCAAGCCGTATGTGGCAAGTCCGGATAACGTGTATCCGGATCCGCCGCCGGAAGATTCTTGCGGACTTGGCGCTCGACAAGCTGCTTTCAACGCGTAGCAATGAAAAGGCGCCGGCGGGATGAATCGATGTGGGCTCGCCTTGCAGCCGCCACCTTGAGACCTTGAATCAACGAGACCATTATGGTAGCACTTAGCAGTGGCTATATCCTGCACGCCTGCCAGTGGAGTCGTTGGAGGTCACTGCGGACGCGAACTTGGCCACTTGCGCGGACGACGGTGCGTTCTCCGCCCGTGTCGCACGCACCCAGATGAATGAGATCAGCTCGAGCCCACGAGTGGCTACGGCGCAAGCTCGTTGCAGTCGCTGCGGTGACGTCAAGCACGATCAAGGCGCGCGTCGGCGACGGCAGCTACTTCGAAGCACCGACTCTGTCCGAGCTTCCATGGGCAGTCTCGCCGCTGCACTTCAACATCGACTTCAACAAATACCAAACGAAAATCCCACTGTGTGATGGCACGGTCGACGCCTTCGTGTGGGCAGCAAACGCCGAGCGCGATGCGCTCCAGCTGTACTCAGACAAGTCGTGGCTTCGTTTACTCACTTCTCTCGCCACCACGCTGCACCTGTTGACTCCACTTGGCTTCTCTGCCAACATTGCGATCTTCTTCGCTCAGTTTGCATTTTGCCAGCACCGACAACAACATGGCCACCGCACGCGTCCCGCTCAAGTATGGCTCGGAAGAGGGGCTGATCCAAGTCAGCCCACGCCGCACCCCGCGCTTCTCGCGCTGGACGTGGGTTGCCGGCGGCGCCTTCATTGGCGTCAACGTGCTCGTCCTCGGCGGCATCGTGCTCGTCGGCAGCCGCGTCAATGACTCGCTCACGCAACTGCGGTCGGTCCAGGCGGCCCAAGCCGCCCAGCAACTCTCGGTCGCGTCGCTCCCGCCCAAGTTTGCCGTTCAGTATGTCACGCCGCGCCAGGACCAAGCTCGCCGGGGCACGTGCTGGGACTTTTCGACCATTGCGCTCTTGGAGTGGTCGTACCGCGAACACGGCGTGCGCAACGGCTGGCTCGCGCCGGACGAGTACGTGGCGTTCTCCGAGCAGGTACAAACAATCCTCCATCTTCGTCCGCTTCGATTTGTGCTCAAGGTTGCATACAGGCGTATGGCATCGAGATCATGAAGCTCTGCACGGGCGAGGCCAACTCGCCGCAGCAAAAGGACTGCCGCGTCGGTGGCGATTTTGTAAAGCGTCCTTTCTCGCACACTATGATCTCATTTTCTGATTGCACAGATTTGGAACCAAACGACCGAAGGCGGCGAGAACTACGACGTCTACTACCTCAAGGAAGGCCTCAAAGAGTCGGTGCTGCCCATCTCCGTGTGCCCGTACACGATCCACGATGGCAACAACTCGGTGTGTCCCGGCCTCGACGCGGCGCTGGCGACGAACCCGATCAAGTTTGACGTTCGCTCAATGGACACGTACTACGACGACTTGACCATCAAGCGCGAGATGTTTCGGCAAAACAAGGCGATGGCGCTCTCGACACCCGTCGCTACGTCCTTGCACTACTACCCTTGCATTGGCCCGTTTCTCAAGGACCCGCACTGCCAGTTGACGTCCGACAAGTGCACCTTATGTCCGAGCGACATGGCCATGACCACGTGCTGCGTCCCCGCGCCGGGCAGCCGCAACCCCAACATGGAAGGCGAGTTTTACGCGCATCGCGGCTTGGCGTACGAAGGCGGCCACGCGATGCACCTCGTCGGCTACAACGACGCGTTCCTCAACCATGAAGGCGAGGTCGGCGGCTTCATTTTGAAAAACTCGTGGGCCGACGGCCCGAGCCAGGGCAGCCACACGCTCAAGTACTGGCTCCAGGTACCGCCCTCTACCTTGTACAAGTTGTCATGTATACGCGTAGGAGATTTCGGACTGGGAAGAGCGCACGATCTGCCCCAACAGCTATAAGTAGGGCTAGGGTTATACGTGTCGCCGGGACTCAGTGGTGTGTCTAGCCCGACCAACTGGTACATGTGCGGCAACGCCGACGAGCTCCTCGTGACGCCGGGCAGCAACGGCACAACGTCGTACAACAAGGGCATTGAAGACTGCCTCTCGGTGACGACGCAGGGGTTTGCGAAGATGAACGTCCAGCCGCTCGAACTCGCTTGCACCGACAGCTCGCAATGTCTCGTTAACGCCGACACGACGTACTTTGTGCGCAACACGACCGACTGGGGCGACCGCATGACGCTCATGTGCGTGTGGGAGTACAACCCGAAGGCTGGTACCGCCCGCGACTACTGCCTCGTCCCGATGCTGGACAGTCAGCTCGCACGCACGCTCCGGTGAGTCGTCGCCGGTGTATTATGACTTATGCTGTTGTCTGCAGACCCAAGACAGTGCTTGAGAATGACACGGACCGCTGTGGCTTCTACTTCATCTCGTACGACGCAGGTACGTCCTTCATGGCTCAGCGTGGCGATCGTATGGAGCTATGCCACCTAGTGCGCCGGTACTCGACGCAATTTGGTCAGTTCTTTGTCAACTCGTTTGACATTGCCTGGGACGACCGGTCGTATGCAGCCAACAAGGCCACGTACCCGGCCTTTGACTACTCGCTGCTCACGTCGTCGACGCGCAAGCAGCACCATGACGATTTTACGGGCCCCCACCCGTTTGCCGAGATCGTCGCGTCCTTCCCCAACAAGAAGGCGTAGGGTTGTGTGATTTTGAATTTAGTTTTTGGACAACCAACGTCTAGTTGTTTGATACAGTCCCTGCAACGATAGTACTCGCGGACCGTGTTATGTACCGCCTGCGGTGCTCTTCCTGGTCAACAGAACCATACCTAGTGCCAAGAGGGCGACTAGGAACGAGCCGAGGTTGACGCTATACGTGTACCTCGAAGGATACTATGGACAACTTGTCATGGAGCCGAAACGCGTAACGCTTGGCGGAGGTGAGCATGGGCAGCAAGCGTGGGCGCGACGAGAGCACCGGCAAGTCGCGGCCGTACCCGTCCATGATGGCGGCCGCGCTACCGCACCGCCGCCACAAACCGCGATCGCCGTCCGTTCTGTACGGTGCCTCCGTTTTGAATCAATTCATATCCTAATCTGTCGCTGCGCTAGCTCGCCGCTCGAGGCTTTCCGCACTCCGCACGCCTCGATTCAGCAAGTGTGGTGGGCCGCGTCGCATCCCAAGCAAGAGCACCTTCTCTCGTCCTTGTACGCGCACAACCCGCGCATGTTTAGCGTACCCGCGCTTGCTGCGCCGCTCGCCCACATGAACCAAGACGAGATCGAGGCGACCGAGGTTGCACTGGCAGCTGCTCACTGCCACCCGCTGACGCTACCGACGTCATCGTCCGCTACTTTGTCGACAGTATCCAACGGCTTTGCGCTTGTGCCGGCGCACCGACTCGCGCAGCTCGAGCGACTCGAGAAAACCCTTCAGCAACAGACCGCCACCACCTCGGCGCAGTGCGTGCATCTCTTCCAGGACACAGCCCTTAGCGCTCGGTAGCCCAGTGTAGTGCAATTTCAAAATGGACACACAGTCGTGTCGTAGGCTGCCCGTCCCGTATGTCGTCGTTGCCGTCCACGCCATGTTGGACGCCTCCGTGCGCGAGATCCAAGCAAAACGACAAGCGGCCATGGAGACCATTTACGTGCGGCCGGCAGCGCTTGGCCTGGCGCTCGCCAACACCACCAAGCACCTCCGGCTCTTCCACCTCCCAAAGACCGCATTTGGCGACGCCCACATTCGCCGCGCTGACCAAGCGCTCGCGGCCGAGCGCCGCACACAAGCGCAGCTTACATCGCTCGAGGCGGAGGCGCACTTGCACCGGGAGCAGTGGCATCTGGCGCGCGAAGACCATTTGAGCACACTCCACGCCGCGTACAACGACGCGATCGAGCGCAAAGCCGACTACATTGCGTACGTCGACGCTGCACTCCGGTACAAACCACTCCTCGAAGACGATTTCAACGCGACCAGCCGCCCCGGACGTCTCTACGCACAGCGACTCCGCGCTGCGACGCGTCGTGTCGAAGCCTTTTACAGCGTCTACGGACCCCGTCGCGTCGCCAGAAAGCACCGCGCGGCCGCGATTTTCCAGGCACTTCGGCGCGGCCAATGCGTCCGGCGCCGGTATGTTCCGATCCTGTGCTCGTACCACGTGGCCATGCTGCGGCTGATGCGACGCCTCGTGCGCGGCTGGCGCAGTGTCGCCGACCGCGCATGCCGCGTCCGCCGTATCATGGCCGCCTTTTGCGCGTCGCTCCAAGAACGGACGTTCCACCAGTGGTACCGCCACGCAATGACCTGCCGCGATGCAAAAAACGCAAAGATCAAAGCAAAGCTCGCGCGCTTCTGGAGCTCGGTACGCCGCACAGTCTTTGGTGCGTGGCGGCACTACACGTGGCAGCGCACGCGTGCTGAGCGGCTCTTTGCGGCTGCGGTCGTCCAAGCAAGAGGCTACTACTTTCGCGGATGGCAACACGCGGTGCTAGACCGACGACGCGCTCGTTTAGAGCACCGTGCGTGCACGCGCCTTCAAGCCACGTGGCGGCGCGTCACGTCTGCCCGCCAAACGGCCCGTGTGTAAGATCTTGTTTGTCAAACAAAACGCACGTGGGGATGCCACGTATTCGTATCCGGATAGGAAACGCACCAAGGTGCAGGCGATCCGCCGCCTCCAAGCCTTTGGCAAGAGTCTCGCCGTCCGGCGCAATGTCCGAGCCGTCGCGTCGGCCGCGCGACAAGCCGCGATCAATGCCTACGTCGACTTTGCCGTCGCGCGCAACCGAGCGCTTCCGATGGCCGCCGAGGTGCGGCGGCGACGCATGGAGTCGGCGGCCATCTTGCGCGGCCAAGAGCTTGCCGTGACCACGCACCATGCGCTGGTGCAGACGAAGGAGGGCCAAATGCGGCTGCAGCGGGAGGCCAAGGTCAAGCGCGCAATGTCCAAAATATCGCTTTTCAAGTACACTCTGTCTGTACCGGACGCGCTCGACGCCGCGTCGCACGAGGCGGTCGTGGCGGCAGTTGCCGACGCGCGGTACGCAGCGCTACACGAATTTCGACGCACGTATCCGCCGCGCTTTGCCTGCGTCCACCCGCTCGACATGGACGGGACGTTTCCCACCGACGACACGTTCTATGAGCACAAGTGCCCCGGCGGCCTCTCGGTCAACATGCGCATGCTGATCCTACTGCTTCAGAACGCATCGCCGGCGATGAAGGCGCGGTGGATCACGACGTCGTCGTCGCCGGACGCAACGGCAGAGCTCTGGGCGCTCTACGAGGCGTCCGACCGCCTCCTTGCCACCTCGGACGCGACGCATCGATTGGTTGAAAAAGTGCTCGCGCTTCCGACACAGACGCTTTCAAAAGGCAGCGACGTGCTAAATGCGCTGCTTACGCTGCGCAAGTGGTTTCTGGACAAGTCGGCGTCGGTCGAGGCCCTGGTCTCTGTCGCGTGGACGCTACGCTACGCCTCGCTCACTCTACTCTTTGACGTTGTGAAAGAAAAGATCCCGCCACGCGACGTCGAAGCCAAGCTCGAGCGCCAGCGTCTCGTGCACGCAGACCATTTTACGGCGGCCAACCAATGTTGCTGGACGGCGTGGGGCGCCCATGCCAAGCGCCAACTCTTTGCCCACCGTCAGCGCGATGCGGCCCGCGCGTTGGCGCGATGCGGTACCTTGGCACAGCAACGCGTGGCCGTGCTGCATACCGCGCGCTTTCGCCTACGCCAAGTGACAGCGACAAGTCTCCTGCGGCTATGGCGCCACCACGCCGACAAGAAGGTGGCGGCCCGTGCGGCGGCGACGCAAATGCTCACGGCGCGCACCGCCCATGTGCTGGCAACGTTTGCACCGACGCGGCGCAAGGCCAGTGCGGGCCTGCACCATGCGCTTGTCCGCGCCCATCGGCGCTTGGACGGCGGCATCGATATGGCCGTTGCAGGCGTGCTGGCGCGGACGCTGCATGGCGTCTTGCGCGCCGATGACATTGCACAAAAGCGTCGCGCCGCCTGCGCCGAGCTCCACGGCCTGGCCAGCCACGCCCGGCTGCTCTTGTCCGACTAGGACTAGGCGTTTTCCATTATGACCGACGAGCCTGTCATTGCCGCTGCAGCGACGCGAGAGCTCGACGCGGGAGGTTGCCGGCGACCGAAGCTACTTGAACGTGCTGCCACCTGTCGCCATGGTCGCTCGCACCCAGCATCCATACTGCAGGGATCGCAAAGGCGGTGGGTCGTTGGACAGGAGGCATGTAGCTACCAATGTTATATACTGCTACTAGCGATAAACTATTGTCTTTGGTTTTTGTGTCGAACTGCAGATGCCTGCCTTGCCCGAGTGCGACCTGCTGACTTGCTGCTGCGCCCATCCCGCCGATCTTGATCTTGTTCGGAAGTGTTTCAAACAGTGGCAATTTTTGGCGGTGTTTTATACACTAGAAAGCCACGTGCGCAAGGTGTTTTTTTCCGTAAACAACAGTCGAAGAAACACCACAGTTGATGCCAATGGCCAAGGTCAAGACGGTCGTGGTCGGCCGGCCGTCGAGCGCGACGACGACGTGGATCTTCTTCCTCTTCTGCCTCATCAACCTGCTCAACTACGTCGACCGCGGTATCATCCCCGGCGCGCCGACGCAGTTCCAGTACTTTATCAAGGCCACGATGAACATCACGGTCGGCCAAGAGAGCTTCTACCTCGGCCTCCTCGCGTCGAGCTTCATCGCGAGCTACGCCGGGTTCATCCTCCTCTTTGGCTATCTCTCGATCTTTATGAAGCCCTTTCGCCTCGTCGGCGTCGGCCTCCTCGTGTGGTGCGTCGCCGTGCTCGTCTGCGGCGCTGCCAAGCAAACCAACAGCTTTTACGTGCTCCTCGCCGGGCGTATCCTCAGTGGCATTGGCGAGTCGAGCTTCCAATGCATTGCACCACCTTTCATTGACGACTATGCGCCGCCCGCAACGCGGACGCTCTGGCTTGGCGTCTTCTTCGCCTGCATCTCGGTACGTGGCATGTGATGGATCTCGATCTGAGGCTATGGCGTAGGTCGGGACCGCCGTCGGGTACGAGTACGGTGCGCTCTTTGCCGACTCGAACCTTGGGTGGGGCTGGGCGTTCTACGTCGAGGCCTTCCTCATGGCGCCGCTCGCGCTCATTGCGCTCTGCTGCATTCCTGCCAAGTACGACCGCCCGGGCAACCACCAAGTCCACCGGCCGTCCGACGACGACGATCACCACGACGGTGACGATGACGAGGCGACGATGACGCACGACGCATCAACCTCCCACGTCGACGACCTCGAAGACCACAGCCGGTTAATCAAAGCCAAGACGTCGCCGTCGACCTCACTCGATGCTGGCGCAAATAGTGTGCCCTCCGCAACTTCAACTTCGACGACGCTCGAGGCGCCGGCCAACTTTTTCCACGAGGCCTTTGCCGTCAGCAACAACGCCGTCTTCGTGCTCGTCGTGCTCGGGTCGGCCGCGTTCACGTTCTCGCTCGCCGGTCTCAGTGTCTTTGGTCCTATGTTTCTCATCGGACTCGGCCTCTTTGAGAAGGAGACGCACGCGTCCGTTGTCTTTGGCTCGGTCGTCGGTACGCTCATCTTGCCTGCTCGTACATCGACGTAGCTCTTATGTACTAGTGCTGGCGGGCACGATTGGGACGCCGGTCGGCGGCCTCATCCTCGACTACACGTGCCGCAACCTCGGGTCCAACGTGGCCATGCGGCAGTACATGGCGCTCCGCCAAATGTTCCTCTTCATGGTCGCGGGTACGTGCTTGTCGCTCATTGCGTGGGCGTCGCTCCCGTCCAAGCTCTGGTTCCTCGTGCTCTTTGGTATTGCGCTCGTCTTTCTCTTTGGTACGACGTCCTGCACGGCGATCGCAGTGCTCCTCAGCGTCTCGCCGTCGCGCCGCGCGCTCGCCGTCGCGGTCAACACGCTGCTGATCCACGTGTTTGGGGACGTACCATCGCCCATTCTCCTCGGTGCGCTCAAAGATGCGCTCGCGCCCGACTGCGGCAGCATCGAAGTCGGCGGCAAAATCATCTTGAACCCCGACTGCGTCCAGGACCGGAAAGGCCTCATGGACTCGCTCCTCTTCCCGCTGCTGTGGATGGTCTGGACTGTCCTGCTCTGGGGCATGGCCGTGCTCCTCGTCCAGAAGCGCCTCCGCCTCGCCGGCCAGCCCGTCTAGTTAGTGTACAGCGACTAATACTACACGATTACCATGGTACTGAGATGGATGCATGCAATTGCACGATGGGCATGTGGCCTGCGTGGATGATGATGCGGCGATAGCGCACGCGTCATGCGTGGCACTGCCATGGCCATGCGCGGCTGCGTCCAAAGCGATGACGGGGGCAGGTCTATATCGTCGCTGGTGATGACGATACTTGAAGTGCAGTCGCGATCCTACATTGCGCAGCCGCGCTGACCGTCCATGCAGTCGGCCTTTGCCCGGCCTCGGCGCCAGCATCGAGGCGGCGGTCGGCGCGTAGGCGACTTTGCTGCTGAAGTCGCGGCTTGTTACCAATGCGACGGCGTTACGTCAGCGACTAAAACCCATGAGGAGGTTTAACGCGTTTAAACGTGTGACCAACGTTGCAAGCGTATTGGTGTTTGCCACGTAACCGCGCGTGCAGAAAACCTCGCCTGAGAGAAGTGGCACGACGCTGAATTCAATTTTGCAGCGGTCGAGTCGTTCTGAGGTTTAAGCTCCACCCAAGGACGAGTCTAACTAGTAGGATTTAGACTCGTTGATTACCCCATGGGATTACCTAAAGTGATAACACGCCAAGCCGGCCATGACCTGCCCATTACAACGCCGGGCACCGAGGGCGCCGATCGACCTCTACGTCTCCGACCAGAAGTCCGTTTTCACACCCACTGACTAGCAAATAGGTCGCACAGTCGCAACGGAGGAGGCGACTATCGATGCATTTAGCGGTAGTGACGAGGCCATGGCGTGGGGTCGAATTGGCGTCTGTCATACGGACGCTTCCGCATCAACGACGGTCTCGACGGTGGACGTGGCGTGTTTTTTGTTTAAACGCGCTTTAGCCTGTCCCTGCGTGTTGACGCTTCCACGGATTTTTCTGGGGTACCCAAACCCCGTCGTTTTGGTAGGTCCTCTCAATATTTGTATACAAAATGGCACTCGCCAAGGACTCTCTTCAAGGGGAGGGGGTGAGAATTGAAAAAGTAACGACCCAGCGGTGGGGCTTATTCTTATTTGTGCTGCGTCGCGAGCAAGCAGAGGCCAGTATGAGCCTCTTCCGCGTCCACTGCAAGGCGAACCAGCTCCTCATCGAGGACTGCCGCAAGGGCGAGTCGTCATGGCTCAAGGTCAGCATCCCCGTCATGCGCCCCGCGTCGTCGGAAGCGCCCCTCTCGGCCGCCAAGGGCGCCGCGCCGACGTCCGCGCCGTACCAAGGGCTCGTCGACCTCGACGAGGTCGCGCGCGTGCCGGACGACAACGACTCGCCGCCGATTCCCGTCGACGCCATCTATGGTGTCTATAGTCTCCTCTCGGGGCCGCACATGGCGTTTATGAAGAAGAGCCGCGTCGTCGGCAAGGGCCCCGGCGGCGAGGTGCTCTACCAGATGACGGAGCTCGAGTTCATCCCGGTCTCGGAGACGCTGCACCGCCAGTTTCTCTCGACGGCAACGAAGCAGGAGAAGCACGACGAAGCCGTGTACCTCAACATGCTCTCAACAATGGGCAAGTCACAGCTCTTTTACTACTCGTTCGAGTATCACTTGACGCTCTCGGCGCAGCGCCGGTTTGGCACATCGGGCCTCAAGCTGCCGATGCATTTGCGCGCCGACGAAGGTTTCTTCTGGAACAAGCCGGTGCTCGAGCCCTTCTTCCGCTCCAAGCTCAAGCTCGAAAAGTGGATCGTCCCGGTCATCAACGGCTACGTCAAGGTCATGCCCAACGTCAAATTGAGCGCGGACGTACCCGCTTTCGACTTTTTCTTCTTCACGCGCCGCAGCTGGCGGCGCATCGGCACGCGCTTCAACGTCCGTGGAGTCGACAAGGACGGCCACACGGCCAACTTTGCCGAGACCGAGGTGCTCATGCGCAAGCCGGACGGCGGCATTAGCTCGTACGTGCAGATCCGCGGCTCGATCCCTCTCTACTGGGACCAAATGGTCACGCTCAAATACATGCCCCGGACGCGCTACGCCTTTAGCTCGTCCGAGTCGATCGTCGACTGGAACGAGCTCGCGTTCCGCGCCCACTTCGACCAGATCATTGCCAAGTACGGGCACATCACTGTCGTCAACCTCATCGACAAGGCCGGCAAGAGCGCGACGGTCCGCGACCAAGCGCAGCTCGGCACCGCGTATCAAAAGTACGCGAAGAAGTACAATGCGCAGTCGGTAGACGGGTCGGCGCCGTCGCCGCTGCAGACTGCGAGCTCGTCGCTGGACGACGACAAGCCGCTCGAGCGCAGCGATCGCTCGGGCAGCTTTCTCGGCGACTCGGGGGGTCTCATTCCGCCGTCGCCGCGCCTGCGCTTCCGCCGGTCGACGCCTTCGGTCGAGACGGTGTCGCCGCCCGCTGCGCTCTCGCCCAAGCCGAGTTTGTTTGCCGAGCCGATCACGTACGTGTGGTTTGACTTCCACCACGAGTGCCGCAAGATGCAGTGGGGCAACCTCTCCAAGCTCATGGACCAGGTCAACGACTGCTTCTCAAAGTACGACTGGTTTGAAGCCGACCGCGACGGCCGCGTCCTCAAGAAGCAAAAGGGCGTCTTCCGCGTCAACTGCATGGACAACCTTGACCGTACGAACGTGGTCATGAGCCTCATTGGCCGCCGCGCGATGCTCCAAGCGCTCAACGTCAACACGGCGAATATCACCAACTGGCTCGACTCGCCCTTTGAGGCGTTTGAGCTCCAGTTTAAGAATGCGTGGGCAGACAACGCGGACGCGGTCTCGGTCATGTACGCGGGTACCGGCGCGCTCAAGACGGACTTTACGCGCACGGGGAAGCGGACGCTGGCCGGTGCGATCCAGGACGGTGTCAACTCGGTCACGCGCTACTACCTCAACAACTTTTCCGATGGCATTCGGCAAGACGCGATGGACCTCTTTGTGGGCAACTACGCGGTCGACCGCCGCGCCGACTCGCCGTTTACGATGCAGCAGCAGCACAGCTTCTTCCACCTCCTCATGGAGATGGCGGTTGTCGCGCTCATGGTGATTGGCGTCTCGCTCTCGCTGCACAACGCCGAGGACTTGGTGCTGCGCATCCGCGACGGCGCTATTGCCGCGATCTTTGGCTTTGCGACCGTCGGGTACCTGCTCCTGAAGAAGGGCTCGTTCCGCACGGTGGGCCGCCACTTTGTCTGCAAGCCGTCGTTTTGCTCGAGCGGCTACATTCGGAGGAAAGACGCGTGAGCGACGCTACGCTACACAGCGTGCTCAGATGGAATGAGCGACGAGGGCTGCGATTGACGTCGTCGACTAAGGACGAGTAATAGTATTTGTGTTTTCATATAGCAAAGTATCAACCTTTCAACTCTTCCCGGGATCGTCGACGCCGACGACTGGAAAACACGCGGCGTCGTTGCACGTACGCCAGAAGAAACTCCCCCGCAATGCAATCGCTCGCAGGAGTTTCTGTATTTGTGACGTTTCACATGAGGATTTGGCGCCAAATATGGCGTTTGGTTCGTCAAATGTGGTATTTCTCGCGACGCAACGAGCGAAATACGCTTTTCGAGAGCGAATCCACTCTGAGAATTCATCTTTGGTTAATCCAACCCTAAAACTAGGCAATTCCATCGATACAACACTTTGAGAGTATATTCGTTGGCGATATGTTTGATCCAACACTTCGTCTCTCTCCTACGACGTGAGCCAGGGATGAGCGGCGATCGCGGCGGCCGACAGGCGGCGACGTGGGTCGACCGCAAGCATACCGCGAAGGAGGTCTTGCAAGAGCGGCGACGCGTACTCGGGCATTTCAAACTCGCCACGGAGTATGCTGGACCGGTTGATGAAGGGCGACTCGGACGTCAGCAGCTCGTAGAGCACGACGCCTGCGGCCCATACGTCGATCTAGTGCACATCATGAGAAGCCATGGAGGGTATACGAGGCGTACCGAATGGTCGTAGGACTCCTTGCGAAGGAGCTCTGGCGCTTGAAACGCCAAACTACCGCAATGGTCGTCATGGCGCGGGCGTTGGGAAACGATCGCCATGCCAAAGTCGCCAATCTTGATGTTCTCCTACGCCGCATGAGCCTCGAGTATCCGATGAGGGTATATACGTACGTTGTAGTCGACGTAGATGTTTTCGGGCTTGATGTCGCGGTGCACGACGTGAGCAGCGTGGAGCGCACCGAGGCCGGCCGCGATCTGCCCCGTGAACTTGCGGATCGTCCGGATCGGCAGCGGCTGGTAGGTTTGGTTGTAGTCGAATAGGTCACCGTTCGGACAGTACTCTGTCGCCAAGAGCAGGTACGATACCGTAAACTTGGCCTCGTAGATCTGGACGAGGTTGGGGTGGCGCACGTGGGCAGCAATCTCGATCTCGCGCCGAGCGCTTGCAGGGTCGCTGGTCGCAAGCGGCAAGGCCTTGAGCGCAACGATGTGGTCGGTGGCGACGTGGCGGGCGAGATAGACCTGGCCGTAGCCGCCCGCCCCAACCAGCTTGAGAGCCTCGTAGGCAGTCCAAGGCGATGTCCACGTCATGCTCATGCTCGCGTGCTGCACTTTTTACCAATATGCATATATTCACAAGAAGTGTTGGCGTAAAAGCATGTTGGTTCTCGCCTCTACAAAGGGATCTATGGACTATGAACGAGTTCCTACACGAGGTAGCATTGGTGGCGTGTCGTAGCGAGGGTTGAGAGATGGCGGGCTGCACCTCATAGACCCGAAACCCAAACCAAGAGGCCTTGGACTGCTCAAGGCAAGGCGTTGAGATGAGATGAGACGCATATCGCCCACGCAATCAGTGAGTCTCTCTAGCAACGAGCGAGGCGGCAGAACACCGGCGACGACAAGATAGACGTATGACGGTCAAGCTGGTTTGGCGGGCTGGCCGTGGTGATGTGTGCTGCTTAGTGACTAGCTTGTTGTGTAAATAGTGTTCTAGGCCAATCGCATCGCAACCCTGGACTTATTAGAGCGAATCAAATGTCGTTGTCATACACAGGATTTCATCCAATGGCATGCGTGCCGTTTGCCAACATCACCAAACCAATCGGCTTCACGAAGACGCCACGAGCTACGGGACCTGCAAGCCGAGGCGCTTCGGCGACGCTGGCGCGCCGCATGCGACAAGCTCGCGACGACCCAAAGGCGCTCGGTGCAGCCGACGACGTCCG